CCCCCCCTCCTCGCCCAAATCTAAAAAGTTGCACTATTTTAAAACAGTCGAGAATGTATTTAATACATTGTTATTTTCTGTAATAAAGTTTAAAAGTGAATCTGTACATTTTAACCAGCAAGCTATCTCATTACACCAGAATTTCGGCATTAAATTAGTAATAGAAAAAAATCGAAGCTGCAATCCCAACGGTTCTTTGCACATCCCTCCCTCCACCTTCACCCCAAGTAGGCCTAGCAATCCTGGTTACGGCCCTGATTATTCCATTTTGTTTCTCTCCACTGTCTTGTTTATGCTGCATTTATTGAGGGCACCCAGTAACTGAGTAATTAGTTTGCTACAAATGAAATAGATAGATATAACCTTTTGCTGATTCACAAATGCTGAATACGCCCACTGGAGTTCGTGCCGTCAATATTAACCATATTATCAGAAAATCAAGCAATGTAAAGCATTCGGGCGTTTGCTCCAAGCGTAGAGGAGAGAACGATAAATATACTCCCATTCTTTATTATTATTAAATACACGAATATTTCTGACGCACAAAACTTCAAAAGGTTAATGATCTGCAGAGAGGTAGTTAAGGCCATCTATGGGTAGGAGTTTGTCAATATCTAAATGTGTTGTGTTATCATATACCCAGAATAACGTCGATTGAAGCATAATTTCGACCTTTCTATTGTCTAAGCCTACTTACTGGTACAAATGTAATGCATTTAGTGGTAGAACAATGGGATCCCGGGAGACCTCCCAGTTCTCCCGTCGATGACAGTTCCTCTGATGGTAAGCTCAATACAATGTCGGGCCGGGGAGAAAAACCAAATATATATGATGCCCTAAAATCGGTTAAACAATTCTTTTAAATCCATACATTTTGTCAGAGGCTCATATTACTAAGTCTCTGGACACCCTCTATAGAGTGGTTACCCAGGCCGCATCTATTTGCACCCCATTTGAGACAAAACCCCTAATCCCACAGTCATTCCCCTCGTGCAAATCCAGATACAACCACTGATAGTGTCATGGTATTGTTTTAAATGTAGTCGAACGAACGAAAGAGTACTGTAGGTTATAAGCATTCTGTTCCGGACAGTAATGCCGTAACTTCAGTATTTGCAGCAAATGTTGAACTCGTAAGTCGATAAATTTAGACGCTTTTTTTATTTTTGTAAATTGTAAGGTTTTTACATAATAATGTTGATTTAAGCATATTTAAATGGAAGGATAGAATTACACATACTTTTCTTAGTAAGGGATAACTATAAAGGCTATTGTTTCTATTCACTGTTTTTTATCTTCGTATAAAACTTAGTATTTTAAATTAGAAGTAGAAAGAAATGTAAGCTGAAGGAACGACAAAGGTTAAACTTTATACATTTATGTCATAAATAACATTAATTTAAGTTGATTTAGATGCATTGAAATTGAAAATGTAGGCCTGTTTGAAATAAAATGTATACTAAGGCACTGTTATATCATACGTCTACATGCGTTGCTGTTTATTTAAATTAGCTGATAACGTAAATTAGTTATTTAAACTTAAGTTGGACAACGTGGTTACGTGCGATCCGGGCTACGAATTATTCTGGATATACGCACGGAGTATCCACTAACGCGTAACCCCCCCGTGAGTGATACTATGACAGATAAGCTCGTTGATCAGAATGCCTTCTAGGTACGTTTCATGTTCGATTGATCGCGACAGCCCCATTAGTTATCTTTATTATTCCTTATACGTTATCATCAATTGCTCCTGCTCGTTTACGGCTGTACGTGGATTAAAACCGCAGTTATTGTTGCCACTGCGTCTCCAAAATGTTATCATTCAACGCAGCATCAGTCAGAAAACTCGGTTAGCAAGAGAGCCCGTAGCCTCAGGTTCTGTATCTGTATCGACAATTGGAACTGATTATGCAACACGGAGATTAATAATTACGCATGCATAATATCTCAAGACGTGAAATTTAGAATTATGCACAATCACCTGATTGGCTCTCCGTCATTTTATTCTTTACACTCTCTTGTTCATATCTTTGTCAGCCGAATGTAGACAAAAATATCGTGTAAAGCCGCACTCACTTTGGATGCGAACCGAAATCCAGACAACGTTTCCGAAGCTCCGAACGCTAGCGTCCTAATTCTTACACACTGATTCGATTCTCTGATCGTTTCGGTGGGCCTTTCGAT